ACCCTGCACACACAGCACACACCGGCATGAGTGCTGATGAGTGCTGCATGCAGAGATCCAAACACAGGATCTAACCCTGCACACACAGCACACACACACCAGCATGAGAGCTGATGAACGAGGCCACACAGTACTGAAGACTTCTGAGGATAACAGTTTTCAGAGAGCTAGCTTCACTATATCTACACACCAGCTAAAATTAATTCATTACCTAAACTCAACAGTACTAATTAGTCACAAATTTTCAATATCCTACATGAACTTTCTAAACAAAATCAGAATTAGTACAATGATCTAAAGTATCTAACTTTCACTCAAAGATTATGTGTGTTCAAAATATCCTCAAATCCTTCAATTAGTTTTTTTAAAATAAAAATTAACAACTATTTTAAACTAATTCTTCTTAGGATGCAAATGATCTTTTACCAACTGAACTCTTTTCAGCAGGTTAATCTGTCATATTATCCTCATCAATTATCTCCATGGTTAATATTATTTAATAATTAATATTCAATTTCCTACTGAGGGGATTAATAATGTTCTTAAGTTTTTAAGTGAGATACACATTTGCTATCTGGCAAAGAACTTGAGCGCTGTTCCGAAGGATTGCATGCAGTTTCAGGAAGGAGTCCAGGGCTTCATCCAGACGGTTTAGCTTCTTATAGGTGAGGCCTTGAGAAGAGAGAAAGTGCATCACAGGCATCATTGTACTCAAGGCAACAGGTAACTATTTAAACCTATGCGAAATCATCCAGAGAAGAAAACGACAATGAACTGAGCAGTTTTAGAAAACAATAGGGGCTGGAATTTCTCCAAGCAGACATTAGACAAGCTACAGACAGCTCCAGTGATTTTTAAAGTGTGTGTGTGTGTGGGGGGGGGGCAGGACATCAAGGACAGCAGACAGAAACCAACAAACAGACTCAAAGGATGGGATAAGTACTTCAGATATGGATCCAGCTGTAAAATGTAATGGACATTTAAAGGCAGTGGAGATGAAGGGATAAATGTGATGAACTGTGCTGGGACTGCTTGATTGCACATGAGAGGGACAAGGGTAGTTCTTTACTTCATTACAAAACATTCAAAGGACAGGAGTGGAAGGGGAGCTGGTTAGGGAGAGGAAAGGGGTCAGCAGGAGTGTGGCCACAAGAGGGCAATGGGCAGAGGAAGTAAATATGATAAAATACATTATGTTCGTGCAAATGTCATAATAAAACCCGTTATTATGTATAATTAATACTTGCTAATAAAATGTTTTAAAAATTCAAAATTTACTTTTAAATTACAGAGGAAAAATAAAGCGGTAAGAGTCTGAAAAAATCTCAGATTTATAGAGTAAAAAAGCCTCTAAGTAGGCGATTGAGCTACCCTAGGAAGGCCTGTGCTCTTCTCTTCCCTAAGCCATAAAACCCTTTCCAGATCTTGAACGTCACATCCTTAGTCCCTTCCTGCCATTTCTCAGTGACGTGCCTCAACCCCCTACCTCTTCCCTAGTCCCACACCTCATCTCCAGGGTTGGCAGTGAGTCTTTCTCCTTTTATTAGGCAGACAACTGACTGACAGGCCAGTCTTAACTAAACAGACCAGGCCAGATTGGCTGCTTATGTAAAGCACTAACTATGTATTCTCACTAACGAACACAGATCCTATTAATCTTTTCCTTATTCTGTGATATATACATGTATGTGTGCATGCACATGCGTTCACATACATGTTGAGGCCAGAGATCCATGCTGGGTATCTTCCTCAAGTACTCTCTACCTTATTTTTTTGAGTCAGGGTCTCCTTCTGAACTTGGAACTCACCAATACATCTAGACTAGCTGGCCAGACAATCCCCAGGTCCTCTGCCTTTCATTGCCTACCAAACGATTGGGATTACAGGCATGCGTTGCCTTGACTGGCTTTTTAAGTGAGTGCTGCGGATCAGAACTCAGGTTCTCTTGCTTGTGTGGCAAGCACTTTACCGACAGCCATCTCCTCAGCCCCCGACTCAGCTTTTATCTGCAACTTGCTAAACACCAGGAAATAGTCTAAGAGCATCAGACATCCAAGGAAAGAGAAACAATGAGAAAAAGACAAGAAACCAAAAAATACAAACAAAATTCATAATCAAACAACACATGCAAAGAGAAGCATATTTTAAAAGAAACATCAATAAACAAAGAAACCAGCCCCAGTATTACAGACATATATGCAACACCTTGGAAGCAACAGTGCCCATATCAGGCGACCTGTGAGGATAGGAAGGGGATGAGATGGTGATGAGCCTTCATGTTTTATAACAGTACAAATAATACAACCAAAATCTGAGGGGCTGGAGAGATGGCTCTGTGGTCAGGAGCACTGGCCACTCTTTCGGATGACCTAGGTTTGGATCCTAGTACCCACATGGTGGCCACAACCACCTGTAACTCCAGTTCCAGGGGACCTGACACCCTGTTCTGGTCTCTGTGTGTTCCAGCCACATAAGGGTTGCACAGATAGGCATGCAGGCAAAACACCCACACACATAAAATAAAAATAGGAAAAATATGAAAATTTCTGAAGCATATTTGGCAAAACATTAAAATGTGTCAAACTGTGGCACTAAACACCCTCTACGTACTTTTTGTATATTTGACACTTTTCATAATTAAAAAGGAAAATCAGTGGGTTTTTTTCCTATTTGGGAAACATTTAAAAATATCATCTCATGTCATCAAAAACTTGGGGACACAGTCAGTCTTATAACTGTGGTAGATACAGATATTAGAAAAGTCGAGCAACATAACAATGCTGATCCAAATTTTACATAGCATGGCTTTTGAATCATTAACTCCACTAAGAATAATTGGTTATTTATTAATTTTTCTTTTAGGTTTTTTGAGACAGGTTTTTCTTTTAGGTTTTTTCTCTGTGCAGCTTTTGGCACCTTTCCTGGAACTTACTCTGTAGGCCAGGCTGGCCTTGAACTTACAAAGATCTGCCTGCCTCTGCCTCCCAAGTGCTGAGATTAAAGGCGTGCACCACCACTGCCCAGTAATGGGTTATTTTTTTAAAGATGTCAACAATTCCTTAATACAATTTGCCGTGTTGAACTTACCAATGTTATAAAGTGCTTCAGTACAAGAAGAATCATTTCTTAGGGCCTCTTTATAGAATTCAGCTGCCTTCTCATAATCACCATTTGCAAAAACCGTGTTCCCTTTATTAGTGAGAGCTGATGGGTTGTATCTATCCGAGTTCACAGCTAGGTCTGCATAGCTGCTGGCCTGGGCAAATTCATTTTCCTACAGCAGGAAAGATACACAAACTTCAAGTCTAAATTTCCAGTCTCTTCAGAGAGTTCTGAGATTACAGAAACGATAAACAGACTTCCCGAGATTATACAGGAAGATGAACAGAGGCAAATAGTTGACATTTCTTGGTTTTGACAGGCTCTTTGTAGCTGTCAAGCTCAAGCAGCCAAGTTCCTATGGCTGGCTCCTCTCGCCTCCTGGCTTGATAACACGAGTATTTGTACGTAGGCGGTCCCCGTTCACCGCCCAGGCCCCGTGTCCTCGTTTGCTGTGAGCCGCCTTCCCACCTGAGGCACGGAAATAGCTGGAGGGCCTCAGCCGTCCCCTGCTCTGCACCTGGCTGCGGCACCCACAAGGCGTTGGCACTGCTGCCCGGGTACTGCTTTCTCTTCCTCTCGCAGCCGAGAGCTTGATCAGGCCCTTGCCATCCTTCACATGAGGCCCGTGGACCCCTTGATTTCATTGGGACATGGCCTTCTGTGCCAGGCCAGCCCAGTGAGAATGAGAACCCCTTTAAAATGCCCAACTCAGTGGCAAACATTCCACTATTGCCCCATTCCAGGGTACTTTTCTTCCCTCAACAGAAGCCCTGTGTCCATCAGCAGCCACGCTCTACTTCCTCTTCTCTCGGTATCTGGAAACCTGTATTCTACTTTCTATTTCCCTTCCTATCCTGGACACTGAATATTAAGCGGGACCTTTGTGTCTGGCTTCCTGTACTTGGTGGTTCGTAAGGTCTCTGTACCATGTATCAGTGGTCTGTGCTTTCAATGGCTGACTAACGTCCACGTATGGACACCACACAGGTTTACCCGGTATCACTGACACATATTCATGCTGCTTCCATTCACCTTTTGGTTGCTATTAATAATGCTGCTGTGAGCGTCTATGTGTGAGTCTTTGTGTGGACTCTGAACTACAGCTTATATAAAAGTTGGTCCCAAGAAGTGGAGAGCAGCTGTGAAGAGCTGTCTTGTGGACAACACACCGAACTTAGGAGAGCTGTGAGGCTGCTGTGCAGGACTGCAGAGGAGGGAACTCAGTGGGACCTGCAGAGGTGGGAGGGAGCCGCTCTCTGCGGCTGAGCAAAGGGCAAATCAAGTTTGTAGTTGGAAGGCAACTGGCATAAGTGGCGCCCACCTACTTCCAGGAGTCCCAGTGATTGGCACCTAGTAGGCACTCAATGAATGCTTGTTACAGATGGTACTCTGCAACCCCGTCTAAGTCATTTCACCTGAGATGCCACTTTCTCCATCACTAACACGATGGCTTGAAAGGGCTGGCTCAGCATGGTCTTGCAGCTGTCAGTCCAGAATTCTGTTTTCCCCTCACCTCTTAGAGCCAGCCAGGCTTCTTACTCAGGTCTGCAGACTCAGGCCCTGGCAGCACGGGTCAGTCGGTCCTCAGCGCACCGCACTCCACTTACCCCATGCACCAGTCTTCTCTGGAGGCCTTTCCTCAGCTGCGTGCTCAGGCAGAAATTTGGCAATGCAAAACTATCCCATAAACAACTCAGGGTAAAAAAAGCAAAACCTACCAGATAATACAGGAAGGAGAGGTTGGTTGCAGCTGCACTTTTCACTCTACTGTCCTTCTTTTCAAACATCTTCAAGGTGTCTACAGCCTAGAAACAGAATGTCTGAGATGACTACCACTGCTGTACAGCGGTATCCAAAGGTCTGGGTGGGGAAGGGAGACAGAGGGTAGAGGACAGAGCAGCCATAAGTTCAAGACGACAGTTGGCAGGATGAGAATTTCATTCAAGAAAAGAATTAATCAAACAGAAAAAGACAAGCCCGACAACAAGAAATAACAACTGAATTTAGGAGCAGATAGAGGGATTTAAAAGTTGATTGGACAGAGCTGAAGAAGGACTGAAGCCCCAGCAAGGGTCACTGTGAATACCGAGCCTCGTGAGTCAGAGAAGCATCCTCTTCACCCTCCATTATGCTGGGATGAGGACCTCAAAACTTTTCCCTAACTCAGTCCAACTTCTTCTTGACAGAATGTTCTAGGGCTTCTGGTTACAGCTATTTCAGACTAATCTATGGGCCATTTTCCAACAGAGAACAACCCAAAAAGTTATATAAATACTATAACAACTTGGAAGGCACTGGAGAGCTACTGAGGTAACCAGAACTTGAAGACCAAGATCTCACAAAAGGTTCTGAATAAAGTACAGAAAAAGGATGAATATATTTTAAGAAAAATGTTCTTTAAAGAGGACACAAGACAGAGGCGAGCCCAGGAAAAGGGCTTTTATAAATGTAACTGGGATGCTCAGAGGAGGAGGAAAGTGGATGGCCAAACAGTTCGAAATCAATAATAGAAAACAATTCTGGGAATGTTACCAAAATATTATCTAAAGTAGGTAAATATAACCCCATCTTCAAGTCCTGAGATATGGAAGTACATGTTTAACCACCTGCCAAGTCTGATATAATGCTATCTAAACAGGATATAGAACAGTTAGACACCCTATATGAACAGTGCATGGTTATCCAACCTAGAAATCATTTTGATATGAGAAGGAATAGGTGAAAAGGGATAGTGGGGTTTATTTTCTTCCTTTAAAAAAAATACATTTATGTTTGACATCTTGGTGTCTCTACTTTATGGCATCACTGTGTCCAAGCAAAACTCCTGCCTGCTTTATTTTATTTTATTTTATTTTATTTTATTTTTGGTTTTTCAAGACAGGGTTTCTCTGTGCAGCTTTGCGCCTTTCCTGGGACTCACTTGGTAGTCCAGGCTGGCCTCGAACTCACAGAGATCCGCCTGCCTCTGCCTCCCGAGTGCTGGGATTAAAGACGTGCGCCACCACCGCCCGGCTCCTGCCTGCTTTTAATGCCACCATCTGCTCAACTGACTACTAACCAGAGGAATGTACCACACGAGGCTGGAGTCCAAGGTCGTACCAGCAAGCACGATGATCAGTTTGGTTAGAATGAGAATTTTTAAAATACTGGATTCCAAGGCTATCAGTGTCACCCAGAGGTACAGTGCCTATCTAGAATGTATAAAGGTCTTGGTTTGATGTCTCACATCACAAAACAAACAATCACACTAAATCTCACAATGTTGGTTCCCAATAAGTATGCTAGTACCCTTTCAAAGGGGTTTCAATGACCTTAAAAAACTGTTGGTCATTTCTAGGATAGTCTAACACTAGAAAAAAAACATTCTAACACCACATCTTGCCTTTTCACACTAAGGAAGGAGAATCCACAGTGAGTTCGAGGCCAGAGTGGGCTTCACAGCAAAACTCTGTCTCAAAAACAAAGCAACCACACACACACACCAAACAAACAACCCTCCCCCCTCAAACCAAACCAAAAAACAACAAAAAACAAGCAAACAAACAGGAAAAAAACAGGAGATAACAAGATCTGGGCTAATTTTAACCGAAGAAGTTAAAAGTGTTTTTTATTTTTATTTTTATTTTATTTTTTAATGTGTATTAGTGTTTGCCTGCATGTATGTCTTTACCACTTATGTGCCTGGTGCTGTGGAGGTCAGAAGAGGGCATTAAATCCCATGGAGCTGGAGTTACAGATGGTTGTAAGCTGCCACATGGGTGCTGGGAACCAATCCCAGGCCCTTTGGAGAACAGCCAGTCTCTTAACTGCTGAGCCAGCTCTCCAGCACCAAGAGTGCTTAATTTTGGATGGACAATTCTAAAACATGAACTATGGGAATACACTGTTAACCTGTTCTTAAAAAAAAAAAAAAAAAAAAAAAAAAAAAAAAAAAAAAAAAAAACTTAAAATGCCAAGATGAAAGAAATAAATAAAAATTTCTCCACTGTGTCATCTATAACAGTACACTTCATATTCATAAATTATTATTCAGGTCCCAAGGTCACTTCAGCAAGGTAACAGAGACCAGTTTGTGTCACATCGCATGATTCTACTGCAATGGGGGTTGCAGAGGTTGTTTGTTTGATACAGGGTCTCATGGCACTCAGATGACCTCAGACTTACCAATAGCTGAGGATGACCTTGAACTTCTGATCCTCCTGTCTCCACCTCCCCAGTGCTGGGATTACAGGCATGAGCCACTGAGGCTGACAGTGGCATTAAAAAAAGACTTATTTTGATTATTTTTCTATTTATGTGTATGTGTGCTCTTGTGTGGTTATGCACATCTGAGTGCAGGTGGCCTAAGAGTCCAGAGGAGAGTCAGGTCCCCAGGAGCTGGATTTACGGGCAGCTGTGAGCCTCCAGATGTGGGTGCTGGGAACCAAACTCAGAACTTCTGCAGAAGTATGTGCTCCTACCCTCTGAGCTGTCTCTCCAGCCCCCTGGTGTGACGATAAAGTGACAGGACAGATGTGAGGACTCTCTGGAAGTCTTCAGTGCTTTGTAAACACTAAGAGACTTAAGGATGGCTAATGGATCCACACAATTAGCCACCTCCTGGTACTGCAGCCTATCGACCATTTAACTACTACATGAACACAGGATTGCTTCACTCTGTTCTCATGCTCTGAGGGAAGGGTGTTCTCCCCTGTCTCTGCAGTTACTCCTTTCTCCTGTCTTCCAGACAAGAGGAGGGTCCTTCAGTCAAGAAGAAAAGAGAAAGCACAGGCTTGGACAGTGTGGAAAAGACGCTGTGGCTTCCCCTGAGCCTTGCTGTCTGGGTCGAATGAAGTTTTGAGTTGCAGGTACATAGGACACCCATCATCAGCTTAGGAACTAGGAAACCATGGCCATTCTGCCCGCTCTCTTTTGGTATCCCCTCTTCTTCTTCTTCAAACTCTGCAATCCTCTGCTTCTGTCTCAGCTCTGCTCTACTTGAGTGAGCACCGAAAGGAACAAAATACTCCACCCCACCCCTCGACAACAAGATAGCAGCCTGCAGTGAGGGAAGCCAGGGTTCCAAGCCAGTGTCTATCACAGGAAAACACTCGAAACAGCCTCTAAGAAAGCTGTTCAGAGAGGACAAGACAAGACCATCAGACTGCTATTTGGGCTCCCTGCACACACCAGCTTCTACATGTCTTAGCTCTCTGCAGAGCAGTCTGGGGATTTCAAGGCCTCGACCAGCATAAGGTTTGGTAATTTAAGAATATGCTCTATATGGAAAGTATTTACATTTTAAGAAACAGAACCAACATATTAAAAACTTGTTAGAGTTTATGGGTGGGGGAAGAGCTCAGGGGTAGGGCACTTCAATAACATTCTAGAAGGAGTTTCCCTGTATTCACTGCCTGGACCAACGGACCTGAGAAATGCCGCTGCACTTACTTGGTTAAAGTCCTTTTGTCTCAAGTATGTAATTGCTTTGTTAATCTCCAGGTCATTGGCCAGCTCCACGTACTGAGAAGCCTTCACCACTTCCACACACCTATGAGAAAGGTGAGACAAAGGGGAACTTGCTTTCATTTCACTATCCATGTTGTTGACCCCGCTCCTCTCTCCGTGTGTGTGTGTGTGTGTGTGTGTGTGTGTGTGTGTGTGTGTGTGTATGTGTGTGTGTGTGCGCGCGCGCACACGCGCGTTGGGTGCACCCATCTGTTGGGTGCACACATGTACATGTGTGTGCGTGCGCACATTTGGAGACCAGAGGTCAAGGTCAGCTGCCACCCTCCATCATTTTCCACCATGACCTTGGCAACTCTTACAAGAGAAAGCATTTAACTGGGGCCTGGCTTACAGCTTCAGAGACTTAGTCCATTATCGTCATGGCGGGCTGGTTGGCAGCAGGCATGGCAGGTGGTGCTGGAGAAGTAGGTGAGAGCTACATCCTGTTCTGCAGGCAGAGAGAGAGCCTGGGCCTGGCATGGGCTTTTGAAACCTCAAAGCCCACCCCCAGTGACACACTTCCTCCAATAAGGTCACATTTTTCCTATTCTTTCTAATAGTGCCACTTCATGGTGACTAAACATTCAAATATATGAGCCTATGAGGCCATTCTTATTCAAACAAAAACATTTGTCAATTTTAAAAAAGAATTAACTGGGCACCTTTAATCTCAGCACTCAGGAGACAGAGGCATGTGGATTTCTATGAGTTTGAGAGCAGCCTGGTCTACAGAGCGAGATTCAGGACAGCCAGGGCCACACAGAGAAATCCAGTCCCAAAAATAAATAAATAAATAAATAAAATAAATAAATAAATACACACATAAATACATAAATAAATAAATAAAACAATTAGCCAGGCAGTGGTGGCACACACCTTTAATCCTAGCACTAGGGAGGCAGAGGCAGGTGGATTTCTGTGAATTCAAGCGCAGTTTGGCCTACAAAGTAAGTTCCAGGATAGCAAATGCTGTTATACAGAGAAACCCTATTTTGAAAAACAAAACAAACAAACAAACAAAAACCCAAAAAGAAGAAAAACAACACAGGAAACAGACTGTTTCATTACACCTGCTTCAGTGACTAAAGCAAAAGGGCCAGGCACGGTGGTGCACGCCTTTAATCCCAGCACTCAAGAGGCAGAGCCAAGCAGATCTCTGTGAGTTCGAGGCCAGCCTGGTCTACAGAGTGAGTTCCAGGATAGGCACCAAAACTATATAGAGAAACCCTGTCTCGAAAAACCAAATAAAATAAAGCAAAATAATATTTGTCATTAAGGGTATGGTTCAGTGGCCTGGACCATAATTCAAAACAAGGAATCCCTTTCTTTCATAGAACCTTTTCCTGAAAAGCCTCATATATAAAAGAGTCTGTCTGCCTGAAACAGGGACAGAGGACTTGAGGCCCTTTCTGCACTCTACCCCATCTGGAGACAAGGCTCATGAAATTTGAGTTCCAAAAGAATAATCTGGAAACCCAGGTATACACAGCAAATATTTATTAGACGTCTACTACACGTCAGACATTAGTTTTGGTACAGGGGCTGCAAGAGTGACACAATACTGTCCCTCCCTGTGAGGAAAGAACAGTAAAGCAAGCTCTGTACAAAGGAATTCCACAGACACTGCAGCTCAGTTTGGAGGACAAACAAGCATGAACGACTTGAGAAAAGAAAAGGAATCCTAGGGTGGGTAAACAACACGTCTAAAGATGGAGAGGACCAGCAAGCCGGACCTACTCAAGAGACTCAATTGCTACATGGGGCGGAAAGCACTCAGGGAGTGGAAAGAGAGATGGCCTGAGAAGCGGGTGGAAGCCACATCCTTCAGAGCCTCTGGAGAGCAAGACAAGGATGCTCACTGTACTCCCAAAGTCCCAGACAGGGGTTGAGGACAGTAAGAAATTGAGTGTCGGTGCAAGTTCTACACTCAGAAAAATGACTCTAACCGTCAGATGATAGGTAGACAGGCTGAATGCGTTCTGAACAGAGAGGTTTGAACCTAGACAGCACACAGAAGAGGATACAGGTCATTCTGAGAGAAAAGGAGGCAGAATTGATGTGTGGCTGCTGAGATAAAGGCCATGGAGCTAAGTTTAGATTTCTGGCTTGGACAGTTGGTTAATTAGTGGTATCATTGCCTCAGATGGACAATTCAGGATGGGACATGTAAATACACGTTAACAACACAGGTTAAAAGAGAAGATATGCTTGGGACTACAAAGTCTGAACTATACAGAACATTGAGAAGACAGGCTGAGCCGGCAGCTGAACAAGTGAGCCTACAATACAACACTGAGTTTTAGAAAAAGAGGCAGAAATGCTGAACTGAAAACTTTTCTCCTCACATGTCCAACACAGACTGTCTAGAGGCTTCTACACAAAGCAAGTTTCTGTTTCTCTTAGCACAAAAACTAGCTGTCTTACATTTAACTCAATCCTGTGACCGACTTAATGGGCACAGAGCTGTCGGACATTTCACTCTGTTGTGAGGTGTGTCCAGGTTCACACTGCACCCTGAATGCAGCAGCAGGGAGGAGGCTCTCTCAAGCTCCTCAGCTCCCACTACTTGCTGTCACAGCACACAGAACTGGACCAGTTCATCACAAATAACAGTCTGAAGGACACAGATAGAGAATGTGCTGATGGCTCAGTGAGATGGCTCAGTGGTCAAAGCTCTTGCTGCCCAAACCTGACAGCTTGGGTCTGACTTCGAGACCCAACCTAAATGAAGAGGAACAGACTTCACAAAGTGGTCCTCCGACTTCTCTATGCACACCATGACACCCACACCCACACACAAAGGGTGAGATCAAAAGGGTCCTCAGCAAACTGGAGGAGTCTGGGGTCTTCCACTTTAAGATCTAGGTATTTTAAGCAATATATGTGTGAAGGGCTGCAGACATCTGGAACACTGAGACTACTCTTCTTTCTCCTTAGAATGTTCTCCTTCCCTCCACGTCTATCTGTACTAATTCTTCAGTTCTCAACCCAGATATCAATACAAGATTTCTGTGGCCCCAGTTTATAAATTAGGCACTCCGACTAAGTTCGAGCAGAGTGCCCTAGAAAGTGTTACTTTATGTCAGGGCAATAATCACTTAGATTTCTTTGTTATTGTTGATATAATTATTTGTCAACTTAGTTCAACTGTAAACTTCTTGAATGAAAGAAACTGAAAAAATTTTGACTTATCACTAGCCTCAATAAATAAGTATTTATTTTTGTTGTGGCTGTTGGCTTTCTGAATATGATACTAAATCATAAATGACAAGGAAGACTGGTTAAACTCTTCCTGGAAAATAATTGATAGCAATTCCTTGTTAGAATAAAACTTTTTCAGAATGAAAACACCTGACAGAAATAACACAAAGTGTAAGAGGTTAGAGACAATCAGTCATGGTTTTGTTGATCACTATTACCAACGAAGCTGTCAGGGGAACAACTTGTATTGCACTCCTAAATGAGCATCATGTTTTTCCCTGTGTGGTTTTCCAGCATGTGACAAGCAATTCCATAGTGTGATATATGTATGGAACTTTAAAAGCAGACCCTAGCACCAGGAATTGACCTCATTCTTTACTATCTGCTTAACTGAAACCAGTTACAACCCGGCTTCAAAGAAGGATTTTGTCTTGACCACTTTATAAATTCCAAATTTCTCACTCAAATCATGCGATTTTGCAACCACCTCAGACCATGCTTCTCTCAGGAAATACATCATCCCCGGAAAGGGTACTCTGTGTAATCCTCGAAGATCTGTCCTTGGTCTTACAGCATACTGGACCCAGTTCTCTTGTACTGGGGTCAGGTTGTTTGGGATATATATACATACAGTCAAATGGTGTAGGTGAGGGTGTCAAAACCAGCAGTTTCTCAACAAACAGTGTCGGGAACACTAGCATTTTACATACAAAAGAACGAGGCTGGGTCCAACCTTGACTTAATTCAGTTATGAAGGTTAACTTAAAAGTGATCAAAGACCTAACTGTAAGACCTAAAACCACATAACTCTTGGAAAGAAACATAAGGCAAAAGTCTTAAACAGGGCTGGTGAGCAGGCTCTGCAGGTAAAGGCATGTGCTGCCAAGCCTCCCAACCTGAGTTCTATCCCGGGAATCCACGTGGTAGAAAGAAAAAACTGACTCCCACAAGTCTGACCCCCACGTGCACACTGTGGCATGCTCATGCCCCTCCCCTCAAATAAATATGAAAAAACAATCAAGACATTTGGCTGGCAATTATATCTTGGATATGCCACCAGAAGCACAGCCGATAAAAGAAAAAACAGATAAATTAGAGCTTGTGCAAAAAAGCAATCCACAAGATGTGAGAAACTATTTGTGAATCACAGCTGGTATTACTATCTAGATCCAGAGAATTCCTAAAACTCAACAACAACATGACAACACGATTCTAAAATAGCAAGACTTGAAGAGACAGGTCTCTAAAGAAGACATACAATGTCTGAGAGGCTCACAAAAAATATGCTGAACAATACAAGCCATTAGTGATTATCTGAAAACGACAACGAGGTAAAATGCTCCCACCTATGAGGATGGCACACTGTTGAAAGCTTTACCCTCTGAGATCAGCAACAAGACAAAACCAACTACATCACCACTTCTCACCACTGAAATGGATGGGTGCCCTTCTAGGACAAAGGAGCTCTGCCGGGCATGGTGGCAGAGGCAGGAGGACCATAAGTTTGAGGCCAGCCTAGGATACACAGGAAAACTCTGTCTCAAAAACCAACAAACAGACAGGGAGATGACGGCTCAGAGGGGAAAGTGCTTGCCACCAAAACATGAGTTCAAATCCCTAGGAGCCAGATGGGCAGTGCGAGCATCTGCGACTCCAGCACTGCTCTGAGAGCATCGGAGGAAGACACGAGAGAGGACCAGCTAACCCGACCAACACAGTGGGGAGGAAAACAAGAGAGACCTGTCTCAAAAGGGTTCAGAGGGTGAGGTCCAACATCCAAGGCTGTCTCCTGACTCCTGCGGTACACACAAACGCACACACACACACACACACACACACACA